AATTGACTCAAAACAACTTGAATTTAGGACAACAACTAGTTATGCAACGATCGGAAACGGCCAGAGCTATGGGTCTGGACTGCTATTACCAGTTCAACACCGCATATACGGCTGGCATCCGGAAAATCATGGGAACTGACGCTGAAATGAGTCGACTCTCGACGGCCACCAGCGATGGCCAACGACTAGAGGCTGTCCGGGCTTTGGCTGAAATGACAAACTTTATGATTTGCGATGAAAACGGTTTCCGACGAAAACACGCCAACGATTCGGTCGAGTGTCTGATGTATGAGAAGATTGAGATCAGCGCTGAGATTGTGCTCGACTTCGGAGGTATCGACGGAATGGTGACAATCGCTAAGATATACGAAGACATTAAGAACCCGATTGTGGGGAAAGTCGTGGCAGACGTGAGTTAACCCTTTAGTTGGTTATGTGTTTAATTGAGCTCGACTTCGGAGGTATCGACGGAATGGTGACAATCGCTAAGATATACGAAGACATTAAGAACCCGATTGTGGGGAAAGTCGTGGCAGACGTGAGTTAACCCTTTAGTTGGTTATGTGTTTTGATTGATAATCCTTTTGAGTGTTTGTTATGTAATGACAGATCGATTCGCTGTATAAACAACTGTTCCGCGAATCCCAAGAGTGTGTAAAAGCAATCACAGGCACTCAATATTGTCGTAATGTCAAGGTTTTCAAATGGGAGTGGTGTCGACACTATGACCTACTGTTCCTCAAACCTATGCTCTAAATGATTGATTCAAATTTATTTCTAAATCCTATTAAATCTATTCAATATTAACAGTAATTACTAAATAAACAATTTTAAAGCATTAATATCACCGTAATTTTATTTAAATAATTAAAGGAATAGTTATGTCAATATCTATTGTATCGATTTTAATATTCAATTCAATTGTTTGATAATATATTCAATAGGTTCATCAGCACTATAGATGTGCATAACAAGGGAATAGTAGTTTTGCAATAATTTACATAACATTTTGTATATACATTTTGTACCTGTAATCTTTATTTACCGATTATAATGTTCAAAAAGGTGTTCACTCAGTACCAAACTTCAGTGATTCAATCATTGAATCAATAGGAAATAAAATAAAAATAAAATATCAATTATAAGTACGAATAGATTTGAATGATAAGCATATAATTTACGAAATCAGTGTTAAATTGACTGAAATTAAAAATGTCATAATGTATATTCCATTTAGGTACATAATTGCATTGATTTTTATAACTACAGGTTTGTTATAATTTGACAATAAAGCCAATAATAATAAAAATATCGGTAATAATTACTAATTTGTATGAAACGATATTACAGTGAAATGCGACCGAAATGCAGACCTAAAGTGTGTTCGCACTGGAAATGCTGCCCTCAATGGCCTCAATGACCAACAGTTGTATGATTTGTCGCAAAACAACTTAAACGACGGCTCGGCTATGGTTTCCAAGAGGGTTGAGATATCAGGACAAAAGGGTTTCAACTGTTATGTGGACTTCTATAAGGCATATATTACCAGATTATCGCAAATATTACAAACGGGACTCAACGGCAGGTTAGCTAAAGCCCGGACACCCAGCGAGAAGACCGGAGCCCTGAAAGCCGTCGCATCCATCACTCAAACCATGATTTGTGACGAGAAGTGGAGAGCAAATCATGCCAACGATAACATCCAGTGCACTACCGCTGAAGCCAATGGTCTCATTAGAGTACAATTCAGGACCCGATTGGCAGCCCTTAAGGGGACACTGTTTTTGGGAGGGGGTATCGAAAGGATTAAGAATCCAGTGATGGCCTCAATCATAACTGATGTATAAAACAGTATTAAATTATCAAATTTATCGTTTCAACTAATTTTGTATTTGATTTGATTGAATAGATTAGGAAGTTATACAGCAATATATACGAGAAGGGACTCCAATGTAGTCAACAACAGAGCGGCGCTAATAAATGCAAGAATTTAAAGAAATTAGTCCAAGAATTGGATCGACTTTTCTATTTAGGAGGGCTTTCCGTTCAAACAAAATTTCTCAATTTTTTAAGTAAAACGAATTAATTATAACAATATTTCCAAGACTAGCAATTATTGTTAAAAATTAAGTTTTATCATTATTATGTAAATATTTTATAATTACATCAGCAAATAAGTTTTACTAAACTTTTCTATTTCAAATATAAATAACTTTGGTCTAGTATATATTGGTAATAATTGTGTTTTATTTTATAAATAATAAATAAAAATTGTAAATTTTTGTTTAACAATAAAAATATAGCTTTTAATTCAAATCAGATGAATGATCGGTTGACTTCTGACACTTGCCGGGCAAGTCTGGTATGCGTGGATCAACCTGGCTGCATTTGAATCCTGTACAACACACCTGTGGGTCCATACTATAGCCGCCACATATGCCTCCCTCCACGTGACATACCTTTTCACAGGTACCCTGGGCCTCCGGGTGTACGGGTGTCTCGTAGACACACTGTAACTGCTCGCCCAGACAGCACTTGTACTGCTGAACCCCACCACACGTCCCGTTCACGTGAATGCATTCCAGTGCCGGTTGACAGTCACCTGAATATAGTTGATACACATGTTATACAATTTATAATATAATATAAATTATATTATTTAATATATAATTTCTGTTAATCAATATTTGAGGTCATATTACAAGACAAACATTGATAACATATTTTGGTGACAATTATTAATATATGGATTTAAGACTCACTTAACGTGAATGCGATGACAAATAAAGCAATTGTTTGAAACATTACTTATACAGTATTTGCAGTGATTTGAGTTTTACATTAAAAAATATAAGAAATATATTCACTTTTTTGTGACAATTTATTTTAAAAACGCATTTAAATACAAAACTCGTAAATATTTATCACTCAATGGTGTGAAACGTATGGTTATGTCTATCTATAAGTCCATTTCAGTCCTGTTTTTGTTTCGTTAACTCATATTATTATTAATTTAATGGGAAATATTTTTTCCCCGATAACAGTCATTTGATAATAAATTCAAGGATTTTAACTCAAAACGCGTTGATTTTGATTATTAGTGTTATTTTCATACAATGAAATACAAAGTAATCATTCAATTTCTAGCTTATGTTTTCAACACAACAATATGTCAATTGACTTTGGCTTTCATTGACTAAACTCAAAACGCGTTGATTTTGATTATTAGTGTTATTTTCATACAATGAAATACAAAGTAATCATTCAATTTCTAGCTTATGTTTTCAACACAACAATATGTCAATTGACTTTGGCTTTCATTGACTACGATTTTATTTATTATGAAAACATGTTTGCGAGTCATTAAACCCTAAGTAAGAAACGCGAATCAAACATAGAAATGAAAATTGAATTATGAATTAAAAATAGTTATTAATGCACCTAAAAATGTCAACCAATATATTTCAAGGAATTTAAAAATATATTGCAATTTTGATTATACAGTATGCAGTGGTCTTATGCTCTATATTTATGCCAATAATATTATTAGATTTTTTGAAATGATACAAATATTGTTTTTAATTAAAATCCAATCTCTGATAATTTTATATTTCTATAACCGTAATATGTTATGGACTTTACTTTATTCATGTTTCACAATAAGTGTGAGAATAATAATAAAACTTAACATTAGTTTGTACTGAGATATACGGATAAACTAGCTCTTAAAACACATTTACACACTAATGTATTATAATTATTAAGGATTAGATTATATAATCCTCTGTAAGATATAATAAATTAGAATGAAACAAGGTCAATTAAAATGTTACTTAAAGGTCGTGCTATAAATAGCTAATAAATAAATTTAATTCTTAATAATTTATTAATTTTAAAAACATTTCCATACATAACATAATTAATATAAAATAGTAAACATTCATTCCTTTTTAGCTTGTTGATAATTTAACCATAAAATAACTGTGTAAACAAAGTATGTATACAATTGTACAATGTATACTAGGGTAGTATTGGCTGGCAAGTGCCACCAGAGTTTGGATGCTTTTTATTTGGGACACAAACAGCGAAATTACAGCAAGGATTTCGGTCACATTTACGGCTATTTGGGACTAAACATCTACTCCCCAGTCGATTACAAAGGGGACACTATTATGTTCACAAATATAATAAATTTGTAATTAATTTAAATGCAATATCACTTATAATAGAGATTATAATTACATCTCTAACACAAGTGCCTCCGGTGTCCGTAACGTTTGGATTAAACAAACTGCACGTCAGTCCAGATGTGGTGCAGCAGTCATTTCGGGTACAACCGGCCGAAAACACACGACACCTCTGGCCCTCCACTTGACATTTAGGGCACGAGGGAGGCGTTGGGGTGGGGTTCTGAGGGCACAGACACAACATGACTATACTTGACTATAATCAATGAATACAAATAAAGACATACCAAACATATTCCTCCGACGTCTGCAATATTGGGATTTTTTTGGACACATTGAAGATCACCGCAACACCCGAGTCGACTACATCCGAGTGAAAATGCCTGACATACCTCCCCATAACCATTACATGAGGGACAGGTAGTTGTGGTGGTTGGAGGAGGGGTAGTAGTGGGAGGCTTTGGATTAAAAATACCGTAGTTACCGATTAATTCACTAAATGATCTAGAAACTAAAACTAAATATATGACTATTTTCAACATTTTTATTCTTTCACTCATATAAACCTTTAAGTGATATTTGTTTAGTTTTTTTTGATATAATAATCAGAAATACTAATTAAATCTATTTAAATGAGCAAAAAATGTGCAAAGTATTAGATATATTAAATTTATTGTAATGGTTAGCAAAATATTGATATTAGTTGGATTATATTTTATGGGTATAAATGCACCTTTAATTATAGCAAGCATATTTGAAGCATGAAAACAAATGTTAAAGTAATAGTGAATAAAATGTGTTTCTCTGAAACATTACGAGCTCTCAAGGCTTTAATCCAAAAGTGTTTCCCAAAAAATAATTAAAACTCTACTTTCCTTATGAGAGAACACTTGACTTGTATTTGAATGTAAACTCTCATCTAATCATTGCTTTAAATATAATCAAAACTGTGTTTTGTCAGGAGTGAAAACTGTCGCAAAACACAAATTTTTATCTAAACTTCGTTTTGAGCCTAAACATAATTTGTCTCGCTCTCAATGCAGCTCAATAAGACCAAATACCTCCTGAAGTTCAGCTGTCTCCCGATATATCACTTTAATTAAGCAATACTTTCAATTTTGTTACCAATTCACGAAACACTTAAAATTTTGCTAAACTTTTATTGACGCT